AGCACCAAATAATAAAGCAACATCTGGATTAAAGGCCCAACATCTGGAAATGAGGGCACTGTACAGATTAGAAGCTTGATTTTCAAAGAAAATAATGTCCTCAAGGCCAGGCTGAGTGACTGGTTTGATTTTTGCCAGTCTTGTGGACGTGGGCGAATGGGTAGGCTCACAGGAAAGGAATGGGCAGGTCATGGACCAGCTGCTGTCTTCCTCAGCCTCTTTAACCCCACACCTCCTGCACTGCCCTGGCAAAGCAAATATCTTCCCTGAAGTCCTGAGTTCTTAACTTAGATCTGTCATCCTGTCCTGGCCACCTGTCCTAGATAGAGATAGCACGTTTCACCTCACAGGCATGTGCAAGTTGAGAAGAGCAGCAGCCACAAGCTGTGGCCAGAGACAGCTGCACCATCAGTAGCCTGAATACCTAACATCCAGCAGAAACTTGGCCAACATCAATTATTCAGTGAGCTGATGTGGGGGTTATTATTAAAGTCAGCCACATTGCTTCTTCTCTTCCCTGTCTACTTGCACTCTTACTCTTGTGGGTTATTTTATTTGATTTTATCTTATTTTTTTGAGAAATCAAGACAGAGATGGGCAGGAGGAGCAGAGACAGATGAAATAAAAAGACACTCTAGTCATTTTGCCACTTGTCAACCTCTCTGGCTAAACCCAATCAATATACATAAATAGCACTTACTAGATAAATTTGGGTGAAAAAAATCACAGTTTGAGGCATATATAAGAATATTCAGAGTAGCTTTTTAAAATTTTAATTTTGGGGCTACCAGGAAATATCTATTGAAATAATATAGGGTAGTTCACAGTATTAATGTAAAAACTGAATAACCAGCTTTTTTTAAAAAATTGAGATATAATTCACATAGCATAAAATTTTCCTTATAAAAGCTTACAATTTCCTGGTTTTTAACATATTCACAAAGTTGTCCAACTATCACCATTATCTATTTCCAGACCATTTCATCATGCCAAAATGAAACTCATACCCATTAAGCAATCATTTCCTGTTCTCTCCTTCCCCCAGCCCATAATAACTATTAGTCTACTTTTTGTCTCTATGAATTGCTTATTCTGGACATTTCATGTAAATGGAATCATACAATATTTTTTTCTTTTGTATCTGGCTTCTTTCACTGAGAAAAGTGTTTTCAATGTTCAACTGTCTTAATAGCATGTACCAAGTACTTCGTTCCTTTTTCTGGCTGAATAATATTCCATTAGATGGATAGACCACATATTGTTTATCCGTTTATCAGTTGATGGACATTTGGATTGTTTCTACTTTTTGGCTATTATGAATTATACTGCAAGGAATGTTAGTGTACAAATGTTCATATGGATATATATTTTCAATTTTGGGGGGTATATACCTAAGAGTGGAATTGCTGGGTCATGTGGTAACTATGTTTAACATTTTGAGGAACTGCAAAACTCTTTTCCAACGGGACTGCACCACTTTATATTCTCACCAGAAATGTATGAGGGTTACAATTTCTCCACATCCTTGCCAACACTTAATAACCCCCCTTTTTTTTAAATTATAGCCACCCTAGCAGGTATGAAGTGGGATTTCATTGTGATTTTGATTTACATTCCCCTAATTGCTAATGATATTGAGCATCTTTTCATGTGCTTATTGGCCATTTGTATATATTCTTGGAGTAATGTATATTCAAATACTTTGCCCATTTTTAATTGAGTTGTCTTTATTGTTGAGTTGTAAGTTTTCTCTATACATTCTATATATAAGTCTCTTATCAAATCTCTATGATTCACAGTTTTTTTCTCCCATTATGTGGGTTGTCTTTTTATTTTCTTGAGTGTCCTTTGAAACACAAAAGTTTTAAATTTTGATTAAGTGTAATTTATTTATTTTTTTCTTTTGTTGCTTGTGCTTTTGGTGTTGTATCTAACAAACCACTGCCTTATCCAAGGCCACAAAGATGTATACCTATATTTTCTTATAAGAAAATAGTTAAAAGTTGTAAAAACTTTTATGTTTTCTTATATGAAAACTCTCATAAGAGTTTTATAGTTTTATCTCTTACATTTAGTGCTTTGGTCCATTTTGAGTTAATCTTGTAATTGGTGTGAGGTAAAGGTCCAATTTGATTCTTTCTCATGTGGATATCGAGTTGTCACAACACATTTTTTTGAAAAACCTGTCCATTGAATTGTCTTGGCATTCTTTCTGAAAATCAATTGACTATAGCATAGCAACTTTACTTATAATGGCCACAAATTGGAAATAACCTAATGTCCATTAACCAAAAAAAAAAATGTATCAATAAATTATGGCATATCCATACCATGGGATACCACACAGCAATGGTAAGGAACAAATGTTGCTACACACAACATAATGGATAAATCTCATAGACATTACTTTGAGCAAAGAAAGCCAGAAACAAAAGAGTGCTTTTGTATGAATCTAATTTATATGAAGTTCAAAGATAGGTAAAATTAATAATGGTGATAGCAGCCAGAATAGAAATTACTTAGGAGAAGGGGATGATATTGACTGGGAAGGGGTATAAGAGAGCTTGCTGAGGTAATGGAAAGTTTCTGTATCTTTATCTGGATAGTGTTTATATGATTGTATACATATGTAAAAATTTTATAGGCCTGTCTATATTGCTAACTTATCCAGTAGTTTGGAGGATTCAACCACATCCTCTGTGATACTTTAGAAGAGTGTACAAGTGCAGTTATGGGACACCTCAGAGTAGTTCTGATGTTCTCAAAACCTAATTATTCTCTCTTACCTTCTCTTAAAATAAAAAGGCAGTTACATCTGCCACAGAACACAGTTGACCACAGGGGAGAATTTGACGTAAGGTCTGAGTTTGTCCCTGGATAATGACATTTAACCATTATTAAACAGTTTTACCCATATTCCTTGACTTCTAGAGAACAGACCACAGTCTGTGTGATTTTGTTTAATAAAGGTAATTTGTTAAGCTTATAATGAAAGATAATTTAGTTCATATGTTTCACATAAACAGTTTGACAAAAAAAGAGGGACAAAAGCTCTCTGTTCATTTCCTGGGTCCTGATATGAGGATTTGGCAATAATCCTACCTTGCGTAGACATGGGTCTCAAAGCCGCGGTTAGAGGGATGTGTTAAGATTCATGCCACATGATGTTTATTAGATGGATGGGGCTCTGGAAACCAAACAAAATAGGGTGTCTCAGATACCCAAAGGCCAGAAGCAGGTGCTACAGAGATTTCAGATGCCTATGTCAGGAGCTTACCTCAAGGACAGGGATACTCCTTGGCTCCTGCCAATGTTTTTCTGGTTTTGTGGACAAGAAAAAGGATACAGAGGAGTTGTCCAGACCAGTATGCTGGCCCTGTGCCCATGACACTTAATTTCCTTTTCATGAGGGCAAGAGGCCCCTGATGGTTTTTGTCCTTAATGAGAAGGGTTGGTAGGGAGGAGAGCATGCCTACTGAGGCTGACGCCATGGACACTATGTTTAATAATCCAAACAACACAGGGGAAAGCATCTTCGGCTCGTGCAAAAGTGAATTTATAGCCCACTTTCTTTTGAATGAAGGAATGGGAAAGAGTGGTCCACTTGATGGTGGGAAAAGGTACATTCAAGCAAGAATGCCATTCAGGATGACTTATCTCATAACCATTGGGGACTTTTGAGAGGAGGAGTGATGGCTTCTCAAGGTACGTATGCACACTCTCCTCTCTTCTGACTGGAAGTACACACTTAGGACTTTCAGTACTTGGAGAAGCCACCTGAAGTTCACCTTGGTATGAAGTTAAGGAGTGAGCAAAAGAATCTCACCCCACTTTTCTCTTTGAGCAGTGTAAGCCCTGTGTATCAATTACTCACATTTCCCTCATTAAAATTCATTTTTGTAGAAAATTGTCTCTCTGCATACTTAACTCTGTCTTATTTTGTATAGCTTTTAAAAGCCTTAAGAATGATTTGATGGAGCTTAGCTCATTTAATCCTCCCAAGAGCTATATAAGGTAGGTAAGGAACACACTGTCCCCTTTTGTTGGATTAAGTAATTGAGGCCAGAAAAGGTAAAGTGACTCATCCAAGGTCATAGGTTGAAAAAAGAAGAGCCAGGTAAGTTGACCAACCATCCCAGTTTGCCTGAGACTATCCCAGTTTTAGCACTGAAAGTCTAATGTCATGGGGAAGCCTCTCAGTCCTGAGAAAACCTGTATGATTGCTTACTCTATTGCCAGGATTAGAACTCATATCTCCCAACTCTCAGACCAATGCTAGTGCTACTGCCCTATGCTGTCTGTATTCTTAGAACTGCTATCTCAATAGTGTTTCCCCTTCTCTACACCTTAGTGCACCAGGATATTTCTTCATGCTGGGGTCATCCTCTCTTCTCATTCTGGCTAGGACAGAAGCAATGGCAGCTAGTGGTCCTTAAAGATATGTAAGACAGTTTTGGCAAAAGAGAACCGTTCTTCAGCTTTCTCATCCACAAAAGAAGGATGATAATCCCTATATTGCTTGCCTCACACGGATGTTGTGTGGAACAATTACAATGGATGTGAAAGTGCTTTCTAAACTGTTAATAGCTAGTCAAATGTAAGAGACTGTGGTTATTCTCCACCCCCCAGGTAGAAGCCAGATCCTTGTCATATCATTTTCTTTCTAGTTCAGCAAGTATTGCAGCCACTAACTGTGTGAACTTTGGCAAATTCTTGGACTCTGAGCCTCAGTTTTCTCATATGCAAAATGGGGCTAATAATAATCCCTGATATGGTTGTTTTAGGAATTGAATGAATTATTACATGTAAAGCATTTAAAAGAATTCCTGGCACATGGTCAGGGCTATATAAGCACTAGCTGTTTTGGGTTGGCTTCCTCAATCCCTCTAACTCAGAGCCAGAGACTACATTAAAAGGACCTATAAACCAAGCGACATGGAAGCCACTACTTACTTTGCAATCTCTTTTCACTGTCTCCCTAGTTTTTGTATTTTTTACCCACAGGCTTCCTACCATGGATTGTCAAGAAAATGAGTACTGGGACCAATGGGGACAGTGTGTCACCTGCCAACTGTGTGGGCCTGCACAAGAGCTCTCCAAGGTAAGTCCCCCTAGTCAGGATACTTATTTCTGTCACATTTTATGAACCAGCCTGACAACTGAGAGGGTCCAAGATTAGGAGATTCAGCCCTACCTTCAGCTAATCCAGTTCATCAGGCAAAACATGGAATCCAAAGATTATGACAATAGCAGTCACAGCTCCACCAAGAAGTCAATCTGGCAGAATCAAGGTCAGGGGAGGATTCCATGAGATAATGGGGTATTTCAAGAAGAGATGTGGAATAAAAAGGCCTAGGAAGGCTCTTTGGCATTAGGGAAATCTGCCAACTAAAGCAAAGCCCACCTACTTGGTGTTCAGGATCCAGATATCTGGTCTTGGGGATGGGAAAGAGAGAACTGAGAAGGCTGAAGTGTAGTCTCTGTCTTAGAGAGACTAGGCCATCAAGGAAGATGTGCAAGGGAGGATTCAGGGATGGGGAACTAGGGAGGGTCTAGAATCCCAGTTAGCAGTAAGAGTCAGAACAAAACCACCGGCAAGGCTCTGCCCTGGTTTGCAAAGCTGGAGCTGCCTAATTGTTCCTGCCTCAGGTCCCTGTTGGTCCAAGAACCTGGAGGTGGTGTTAAATTTAGACTGTTGGGCCCACAAAGACTGGAAGCAGACAGCTAGCAGATGTTTTCTTCACACACACACACGCACACACACACACACACATCTTATTTTATGCAATTGTTCATTAACTCAGCAATCACATATTGAATACCTACAAAGTGACAGGCATAGTTGTAGACATTGTGGATAGGGCAAAACAGACAAAAATCTTTGCCCTTATGGACCTTATCTTTTAATTAATGAGACAAACAATGAACAAGTTACACACATAGATAAATGGAGAATTTAGATATGGAGGTATGATGAGAATTATATTACAATGATCTGATGCAGAGTGATTTGGTGGCTACTTTAGATCAGGTAGCAGGAGAAGGTCTCTCTAAGGATGTGCCTTCTGGGGAGAGGATATAGCTAGTTCAGAGTCCCAAGGTGTGAATGAAGTAGGCATGTTCAAGAAAGAGGAAGAAGGTCAGTGCACCTGATGTATGGTGAATGAGAGAGAGAGTGGTACTCAGTGAGGTCACGGACAGAGGTAAGGGTCAAACCATATGGAGATGGTGAGAATTTTCATTTGTCTTCTAAGTGCACCTGGAACCCTTCAGAGGGTTTTGGGTAGGAGAGAGACATAATCTTCTGGATGAAAGAAAATATAGCAGTTATTTAGCACACCTCCTTCCTACCTCCTTATTTCACAAATGAAGACACTAAAGCCCAAGGATAGCAACAAATACAAGCACTAACTCTAATTTTAACTCTCTACCCATAATATTTTGTGCCATGGAGGGGTGCCCACACGGTTGATAAGGGATCCCAGGACCAAGAAAAGGTCATCAGAGATTAGGTCATGCTGGACATTAGAATGGACCCAATGGAATAAGGTGCTTCACCTGACAAAATCTATTTTATTTATTTTTTTTGAAGTTTTTTTTTAAAGTTTTTGTTTATTGCAGTAACATTGGTTTATAACATTGTATAAATTTCAGGTGTACATCATTATACTTCTATTTCTGCATAGATTACATCATGTTC